TGAATTTGTTTTGTGTTTTGAGTGCCTGTTTTGAAATTTCTGAAAATGCGTTCTTTTTGTCATTTTGTAAAAGTATTTCTCAAAACATTTTTCCAAAAGGAGTTTTCATTGTTTTTCATTCTCCAGCAAACCGAAAATCGCCCCGCCAGAGCCACCATCTTCTACCTCACAAACCGACCACCACCCACCGATCGACAGCCCTCAATTCAAGCTTCACATACCACCAAACATCACCCATTTCCAATAACTACAGAGGCCGGAATTCATGTTCAAAGTTCGCTGCCTTCTCAACTGAAAATTGCTGGAAATCAAGATTCCGGCCATGCCCATGGTCGGAACACGCCTCCAGACAACTCCCCAACACCAGACGACCACAACCATGCCACCAATTCACAGCAAACAACAACAGAAAACTTCATTTGTAATCTGGAAAAATCGCCAGTCACGAACATCGCGACACTGGCAGCGAAGAAACTAAATTCCGACGACGGCAGGGACACCCACGATCGCGGACCACATGGGCTAGGTCCCTCTTCACCTGGCGCACCTAGCCCCGATATGGGTCTTGGTCAATTTCGCCCAGAAGTTGCTGAATTTGTGGGAGAAATTAAGGTAGTCTGCGAAAAATTCGGTGAGTTTGGCTTCATATTTCTCATTAGGATTGAATTGTTGTTTGTGTGGTAATTGAAGAGTGGATCGAGGGCTTCAAATTCGACTGTTTTGGAGGAGGTTGGCCGGAGTTTAGGGGCTTGGAAAGTGGCGGTGGAGTGTGGCCTGGCGGTGGAAAGGAGGAAGTGTTTTGGTGGTCGTTTTCTGTTTTCCAACTTGGTGCTGGGTTGTGAAGAAAACGGCCAAAACGACGTTTTGGCCGTTTTCTGTTTTCTTCACAAATTTTTTTTGTGTTTTCGAAAATGAGTAAGAGAACGAGTTTTAGCCGTTTTGAAAAATCGAAAACAGAAAACGACTTGAAAACGGCAAAGTGAACGACCCCTAAATTTTAGACAAAAAATTTATTCGTACGAAAATTATTAATTAAATGTATTTGATTGATTTAATTTTCAACCTAAAAATATTATACTTGTCTATTTTTTACGGTGGGTAGATGAGAGAGGTATGATTGATGTGAGAGAGAAAGAGAAAATGATTTATTTGAAAAATAAAGACCATCTCTCCCCCTAAAGAGAATATTTTCCTTATTTTTGAAAAAAATATGGTCACATGACCAAAAGTTATAAAATATTTTTCATGAAAAAAAATTATCAATCAAATACCCCAAAAGTAGGAATTTGTGTGAAAAATATAAAAAATAAAATTAATCAAACGCATCATAATAATAAAATTTAAATCATAATAACCAATTCGTTTATAAGCCAAATTCGAATCTAGTCTAAGGGTCCATTTGATTGTAAGGGTGGAAAATTGGTGCACAAAAAATGAATTTCAGAGAAAATAATTGTCTAGAACTTGTTTTACAGGGAATTGTTAATTAAGTGTGTTTAATTGGTATAATTTTTCACCTGAAAAATGTTGAAATTTTCCATATTTTTTGAAATTGCTTATTTGACTAGAAGAGTTTTAAAGAAATTGAACTAAAAGTATAACTTGTCCAAGAAGTTATTTTACCAAAAAGTAGAAGTGACGTAGAAATCATGCCAAACGGATCCTAAACATCCTAAATAAGCTAGGGACGGAAAAGAATACTGATGAGTAGAAGTTATAAAATTAAAAAGAAAATTAATGGTTAAATCCATTAATGGCCAGCCCTACTTTATATATAGCGTCACATTGATCATCCAATTTGATTTTTGTTTTATCATGACCGCCCAACTTCATACTAGTGTCACATTGGCCACCCCATTTGAATTTGTTTTGAATCATACTATTCACCATTATGATGATAGAATATCAATGATGTAGTAATCTATGTAAAATAATGAGATTTGACAGTTCAATTTTTATAAGAGAGAGGGGGCGAGTGAGAGAAATATGATGAAGTGACATATTATGATGATGGAATATCGATGATACAATATTATGACGATGGAACATCGGTGATATAGTAGTTTATGTTTCATCATTATGATGATAAATAATATTATTCTTTTGTTGCACCATAACTACCCAACTTCATATTTAATATCATATTGACCATCCAATTTGATTATGTTAAATAAAGCCATCGGATGGTTTGAATGAAATTAAGTATGATGTTGGGTGATCATGATGAAATAAAATTAAATTGGATGACCAATGTGACATTATATATGAAGTTTAAGCCCCTGTTGTCTATCATTATTTCAAAAAATTGTTTGCTATAGTAAGGTGTCGTTCTCTTTATGTTTCAGTTTTCTATTTTGAGTTTTGAATTCGTTTTGTATTTTGTGTTTTGAGTGTCTGTTTTGATATTGCTGAAAATGTATTCTGTTTGTTGTTTTGGAAAACTATTTCTGAAAACATGAAACTGGAAAACACGTTTACTTTGAAACTCAAAACAATGTTTTGTGTATAATAGTTTTTTAAAGAAACCACCACAACACCGCCACAAACACCATGAACCACTGCCAAAATCAACACCATCACCACCACCACCTTCAACCACTACCCAAGTCAATACC